AGAGGTAGAGCGCTGGCCTTGAGCTGAAGAGCTGAGGGACAGCACCCAGGCCCAGAGTTCAAGCCCACGACTGACTAAAAAAAAAAAAAAAAAAATGTTTAGCTTTCTAGTGAGAAAGGATCTCTAGTGACAGAATCTTATTACAGCCGGTCAGTCCACTAAAATAAGTGCATATCATAGACTTTGTATCTATGAGAGTGGCTGCTGCTCACCGAGGGGGCAGGCAGGCAGGCAGTGAGAGCATTGACAGATAACAGAACCGCCTGGGCTCCTTCACTCTGTGAGGCTTCTCATTTGTCACTGCCTGTGAGTGATCCTGTGACGTTACTCCCCCCAATAGTTTTTGAGGAGGACCTGATGGAGTTGGGGGGAAAAACCGTAAGGTGCACAGAAGTTAATTACTCTTCTTGTCTGAAGAGTATTATAGCATTTCCACCATTGTTTTTATTAAATGCAAAAAATTCCACCTAATAAGAACTGGAAGTGACAGCAGTGTAAGGGATTGTCTTTGAACTTGTTTGCATTGTGTCTTGAATTGCACTCAAAGTAGAGTCCAGAAAGGAATTTATTGGTTATTCATCTTACCTGAACCCCAATCCAGGAGATCAATACTAGTGTGTTTTAAGCTATTCACCTGATAACCATCTAATTTCACAAATTGGGGACAAAAAGAGGAATCTATAAGACATGAAAAGTCATTGACTGTTGGGGTCCATGACTTATCTCTGTAATGCTAGTGATTAAGAAGGATGAGACTTGGGGGATAATGGTTTTCTGTCTGGTAGGAAAGCTCATGAGGTTCTATCTCCAATTAACTACAAAAATTTCTGGGCTGGGACATGGTTCAAATGGTAGACTGACTACTTTTAGCAAACTGAGCATGAGTTATGTTCAAGCCCCAAATTGGGAGAAAGAAAAAGTCCTTAGAAAACTACTATGAGAAACAGAATCATGAATAGGAAAGCAGAAACAAAAGAAATAAACTTATTGATACAAAGAAAGCTTCCTAATATGAAATATGGCACAAACTATAATATTTAGGGTTTTCCTTCTTATACAGTAGAACTAAATGGTATTTTGACTTGATGAAATTAAAATGTAAAACTGTATGCAATAAATAATCGTGTTACATTTTAAAAAAAAGAGGAAATCTAAAAGATGACTTACAAAACTGATTTCATGAGTTAAAAGGTAACTCACGAGACATATTCTTTCTGCAAATTTCATCTATTAAAGAACCTGTAGTATACAAAGTCACTAACATTTTTCCTCTTGTGGTCTTTCAGGAACCGAGGGGAAAAGCGAATGGGTGCTTTCGAATGTGTTCGTAAAGTATATCAGACAGATGGACTCAAAGGATTTTACAGGGGCATGTCTGCCTCGTACGCGGGCATATCAGAGACTGTTATCCACTTCGTTATTTATGAAAGTATAAAGCAGAAGCTACTGGAATGTAAGACCGCGTCCATGATGGAGAGCGATGAAGAGTCTGTGAAAGAAGCTTCAGACTTTGTGAGAATGATGCTGGCTGCCGCCACCTCCAAAACTTGTGCCACAACCATCGCATACCCACATGGTGAGAACGGCCGCGTTCCGGAGTGGATTCCGCTTCCAGAGCGCGTGTGATCTTGTGACCCCAGCGTGCCAGAATAACATTAGTTTCGGTGTGGGAAGTAGGTGACTTGCGCAAGGTCCGATCAGTGTGAAGCTGAAACTGGAAGCTATTTTACGCTGCTTAATGTTGACAAATACACATACACAGTAGTTTTCTGTCTTTAGATTTGAAACTATTAACCGATTTTACTAATAGCTAAACAAATCAGGAATTTATCTGTGACATGTTGGGTTTTGAAGCATTTTGGTTTGCTTTATATACTGTAGCCTTCCATTTCTGTCGTCGTCTTTTTTTTTTTTTTTTTTTGTCAGTCATGGAGCTTGAACTCGGCCTGGGCGCTGTCCCTCAGCTCTTCAGCTCAAGGCTAACCCTCTACCACATGAGCCACAGCGCCACTTCTGGTTTTCTAGTGGTTTATTGGAGATAAACCCTAGGCTGCTTTGCCCTAGACTTTTTCCCCAGACCCAGTCAATGGTGGTGGGAGGAGGGTGTTTGGAGGTTTTGTTGTTATAACATGCAAAAGGAAAATTTTATTTTGCCCCCCTCCCACCATGAAAGGGTGGGCATCGAACTCTGCCTCAAACTTGCTAGGCAGTTGAACTCCACTTAACGTGAGCCGGGCCTCCACCCCCTCCATTCTTCTATAGGAATCTCCACATTCTTACCCAGCGCCTCAAATTGGCTAAAGTATCCCAATCATTTTAGTTTCTCACCGTGTAAAATGAAAGAAAGATTGGGCTGATACTGAGATGTTAGGATTTTTGCCTACTTGGCCCCCAGACGGGGCCTCATAGCTGGCAGCTGATGTGTTAACAGGTTTTTAGCTTTGTCCACACAGTGTTTTACATTAGTATATGGTAAATTGGTGCAGATAGGTTGACAGATGAGATGTACTCTGTGTGATTAGGGAGTCTGTAAAGTAAAGTGGTTTTACTTCTTTCCTACACAGAAGTTGTAAGAACAAGACTACGAGAAGAAGGAACAAAATACAGATCGTTTTTTCAGACACTGTCTTTGATCGTTCAGGAAGAAGGCTATGGGTCTCTGTACCGTGGCCTGACGACTCACCTTGTCAGACAGATTCCAAACACAGCCATCATGATGGCCACCTACGAACTGGTGGTCTACCTGCTCGACGGATAGCGGCACCGGCTGCCGCACCGTGAAGAGGGAAGACCGGAAGGGCACAGCGGACCACAGGATCTCGAGGCCAGTGAGGTGGGCGGAAGAGAAGTGGTTCGGGAACACGTAGCTTTGCCTAAGTGGAAGTTTGGTTGTAGGAATCAAGGTAACCACGCCACGTCACTCCGTCTCTCGGTAATGTGGAGACGACCCGCAGCTGCCTCCAGGAAATGCCTTTTGAAGCACTCCTTTCACAAATTGCCATTTTCTCTGCCACGTTCACCAGATACGGTTGTATTTTGTTGGTTTATGGCATTCGGAATATAGTATTGTTTAGTCCACGAGCATCTCTCCACTCCTCAACCAAGCCATCCCTGATGACATACTGTACTGTAACTATCCAAAGATAGTGTTGACAGTCATAAATGTCTAACTTCGGGCTTTTAATTTCTCTGACGCTTTAAAGTAACAACAATAGAGCCTCAGTATTTCTCATTTTCTTGAGAGAACCGGACACGGTATTTTAAATTCAGTCGTTTGACATCAGGTAGTCGCTGTTCTTGACAACCAATGAGATAGTGTCCGAATACCTTGTGTATTTTTAGCTTTAAAGTGTTTTGGTTTCCAAGCTAACAGGTGCTCAACGTCTGGCATACTGTGGACTCGGATTGTTGACATACCAAACGCGCATGCTCATAGTTTGGGACTGTTGAATAAACCAGTAAAGTACTGCTTCTCGGCCATTTCAGTGACTCGAATGTGTCCTGATATCTTCTGATTGTTTTTTATTTTTTTTTTTGGTACATGAATGAATGAAGTGTCTTTTCATTAATTTCCTAGTCATAAACTTGAATTGTCATGTATCTATCATACCTTGGTAAAATTTACATAAAGTAGAAATTTTTACTGCTTCAAAATCTTTCTACTTGCTCACACACTAATTTGAATTCTGTCCAGGTCTGTATAGATTATACTGACCTTGTAGGGAAAGAGGTAATTTTTGGTTCTGCCTTTATAAGATAGTCATAATGTCTGAGGACAGAGTAAAGAAGAAGAGCAGCCCTCTGTTGGTGTGACTCGACAGATGATGCACTTACTTGTCTGTAAATGACGAGAGATTTATTTTGTCCTACTTTCTGGCCTCGATGGCCTATAACCAAGATTTAAGTTGTTTGGCTAAATGCACTAACAAGATAAAAGTTTTTCAAGTTTTTGCCATTGGGTCAACTGCACCTTTAACTCTCTTACCTGTTTTAAGTATGACCTTACAAAAATGTGCCGATAGACTTTTCCTATGATGTTCCTTTACTGGTGTATGAAACTGTGATTCCACTTTGCTCCTCATTTCAGTGTACCTTTAGTGATACATTTTGTGCAATGACTATCTGAAAAATGACTCTGAATGCACTTGGGCCTTTCTTTTTTTTTTTTTTGAGAAGAATCATGTTAAGGGTTTTTTTGTTATGTTTTTGTTGTGCTTTTTTTTTTTAATACATCGTCATGTATTAGTCTGTTCATAAAATCTTTGAGTCTTAGGTCTGTTTGACATCATCTGCTGCTTGAAGTATTCCATATACCCCGAAGTGCCACCCACAAAAAGGCAGCCTGTGTCATGGAAGGTTCTCTGCTGTCACTAGAGAGGACTCAGGCCCCCAAACATCCTACCCAGACTTCCTTGTGATCAATAAATAACTGGAGCTTTTTCAGGTGCTTGCTTGGAATTAGAATATTCCAATGTATTTGGAGACCAAAGGCAAATTCAGTTTTGTTACCTTTGCGATTATTGATACCTTTTGTGGCAAAGATCCACTTTGATATTTTTTTTATGCCAGTGCTGGGGCTTGAACTCAGGCCCTGGGCCCTGTCCCATCCCTTAGCTTTTTTGCTCAAGGCCGGTGCTCTACCACTTGAGCCGCACAGCTCTACTTCCAGCTTTTTGTTGGTTGAGTGGAGCTAAGAGTCTCACACCCTTTACTGGCCAGGCTGGCCTCAAACCACGGCTCTCACATCTCAGCCTCCTGAGTAGCTAGCATTATAGGCATGAAGCACAGACAGTGGCTGTTTCGACATTTATTGTGAAGAGCGTACAAATCCCCCCGCCCCAGGTATTTTTAACTTAAATCCACCGAGGACGTTTGCCTTTGCAGGTGCCATTGCCACAGCCTTCTACAGTGCCACATGCTTTTGTGAGGACCCCATGTACCATCTGGGTTGAATGTAGAGTACTGGTACCCAGGCACGGACTTAGTGATGAGGTCACTGTAGCAGATGCATACCGAGTGTCCTTCGAGGGCGAACACGCGTCCTCATCTGTGTATTTAACGGGAATGCAGTATAGGACATTCAGCCTCTGAAAGCCAGAGGTCCGTTTGTACCAAAACCTCAAAGGAGTAGTCAAGCTGCCTTCATTGTCCTTCCCCCGCGCACGATCTGCCTCGTGCCGGAGTGGAAGAAGAACGTGACATACAGATGTTACACGTGAAGTTTGTCTCTCTAAAAGACTTCTTTTGAAGACTTATTTTTTAATGAGTTCTAACATTAAAAAAAAAAAAGGCATTCTGGAAGCATTGTGCTTATCTGGCGCTATGTATTCTCTTTATCTGTTTGCTCTTGGGTAATGAGGGGGCTTTTTTAATGGGAGTCGGCACTCCCGATGGGATTGCATTTCTGTTACAGACTGGATTCTGTTCTCGGATCAGATTGAACTTACGCCAGTAAGAGTATGACCCATAGAGCCACCCATGACTCTGAACCCATTTCCTAAACCTGACAGATACCTCGCAGTGCTTTCCATTCCCTAAATGCCCAACGGCCCCTGGACGTCCTTAGTGATCCTCACTGGGTAACTTGATGGAAGCCACCTTGCCCAGTGGGACCCAGGTTAATTGGCAGCTTTGGATCCATGCTAGAATGTTTGGTTAGCTGCCCAGCCTGGGGTCTCCTGAAACCACATGTCCATGGGGCCAGTGCCAACAGCACAGGGTCTTCCAGAAAAATGAACGTTTACTCTTCTGAGTTTTAGGCAATTTCACTGATGAAAAATACCAGTTTAGCCAGGCACCAGTGGCTCATGCCTATCATCCTACTCAGGAGGCTGAGATCTGAGGATCACAGTTCAAAGCCAGCCCAGGCAGGAAAGTCCCTGAGACTCTTACCTCCAGTGACACCAGAAAACCAGAAGTGGTGCTGTGGCTAACGTGGTAGAGTGCCCGCCTTGAGCTGAAGAGCTGAGGGACAGTGTCCAGGTCCGGAGTCAAGGCCCACGACCAACACTCCCCCCCCCCCAAAAAAAAAGAAAAAACAATCCAGTTTGAGTCTGAAGGGTGTAAGAAGTGCTAGAGATCTGTCCATTCCTGTTCCTTGTTGTCTTTTTCTTCTGCCCAGACCTTTAGTACCGTAAGAGCCCCTTGTGCTGGCCATGGTCAACCCAGTTCCCGCTAAGACTGATCAGGACTTTAACATTCCAAAGGGTGTCAGTATCTCCCAGGGATTCCAATTGAAAGGGACTTGAAGATAGAAAACGCAACTGTCTTTCTGTCCATTCACCTCTCTCTCTCCTTTGTGTAAAACTCCCGTTCATCTTTACGATTTTTGTGCTGCCCCTTTAGGAACCGAAAACTCTGCGGCTTCTCCCTTCTCTGTTGAATGTGTACCCCAGTGTATGTGAACGAGGCAGTTATGACCCATCGGTCATGCGTCACGGATGATGGTTAACTTGGAAAGAGTTGCTCATTTTTGCCCATTCATGTGAGGTTTGCAATTCTCGTGTTTATGTACATGGCTGTAAATTATGTGCATTTGTTCTGTTTTTATGTTAACTGGCAAACTTTTACTTGAATTGTTAAAATTCAGAAAATTAAAGTATGCTTATGAAAACACGGTGATTTTTTTTTCCCCAATAATGTCTCTTGATACTTTGGCAGCACACTAGCATTGTGCTAAGTTAAATGTTATGTTAATTTATTGATCCATCCAGCAAGAGAGGTTGGGCGGATATTTTTTTGGTTTGATGCTTTTCTTTCCCCCACCCTGCTTGTGGGACTTGAACTCTGGTCCTGGGTGCTGTCCCTGAGCTCTTCGGTGCTCTACCACTTGAGCCACAGCTCCACTTCTGGTTTTCTGGTGGTTCATTGGAGATAAGAGTCTCATGGAAGAGAACTTGCCTTACATGCATGAGGCTCTGGGTTTGATTCCTCAGCACCACATAAGCAAAAAGAAAAAAGCCGGAAGTGGTGCTGTGGCTCAAGTGGTAGAGTGCTAGCCTGGAGCTGAAGAGCTGAGGGACAGAGTTCAGGCCCCACGACCAGACCGGGGGGGGGGTCTCACAGACTTCTGACTGGCTTTGAACCGCAATCCTCAGATCAAAGCCTTCCAAGCAGTTAGGATTACAGGTGTGAACCATGGGTGCCTGACTGGTTTGGGGGGGGGCACTTTGTATCTGCCAATCATCTAATCTTTCTAGTAATCCCTAGGTCATACAATGCCTCCCATATGGGTTGATCAGAAATTCTGGTTCCTGTGTGTATTGCACATGCTCACCGATCCTGTAAGTCCAGTGTTGTTGGTAGAAATCGGAATTTGGCCTTATGTTGATTTTTGTTTTTGTTTTTGTTTTTTCTTAAGTGTCTCAGAATTGTAGCTAACAACAAACTTGACCTTGCTTGTTATAGTTTATTTCCAGTGTCTTCAAGTGTCAGGAGCAAGCGAAGTGAATCGAATGGCTTCCATTTCTCCATAGTGCCTGCTTTGGTGTGTGTGTGTGTGTGTATATATATATATATATATATATATATATAATCCATTCCCAATTTACGTCCATAGAGGTCTGTTTATACAGCAGTTCTGTGAGATGTCCCCACAGCCTAGAGATGGATATATAGGGAATTTAGTCATAACTAGGTCAAGGGAAGATCTGCAGGAACTGGCTCTGTAATACCTACTTTGGAGACTGAAGAAGCTGAATATGGAAATGGGAACAAAATGAACTGTTAAAGCTAGCCTGCTTCAACCTGAGGCTGCTAGGAATCCACCAGGCTCTTCCTTAAGTCAGACTTAACACATCGTGCTCTGTTCTACCCAAGCACTCTTAATTGTATTATCTGAGCCTCAGAAATGACTGATGGTGGACTTCTAGAGATTAATTCTTAATTTTTTCTTTTTTTTTCTTTTTGTCAGTGGTGGGGCTTGAACTCTGCTTGGGTGCTGTCCTTGCACTCTTCAGCTCAAGGCAAGCGCTCTACCACTTGAGCCACAGTGCCACTTCTGTTTTTCTAGTGGTTTATTGGAGATCCTCAGATCTCAGCTTCCTGAGTAGCTAGGATTACAGGCGTGAGCCACTGGCACCCAGCTAGAGATTAATTCTTTTGAAAGATCTGGAGAGGTTGCTTGGAGGAAATAACATTTTAACTATACTTTGAGATGGATAGAAATTCTACAGGCTGGGGGCTGGGAAGGTGGCTCACTGGTACAGTGCTTGCCTTGCATGCATGAGGCTCTGGGTTCAATTCCTCAGCACCACATAACAAAAGCCAGAAGTGCTGGGTGCCCGTGGCTCACACCTGTAATCCTAGCTACTCAGGAGGCTGAGGATCGCAGTTCGAAGCCAACCCCGGGCATGAAAGTCCGTGAAACTCATCTCCAGTAAACCACTAGAAAACCAGAAGTGGCGCTGTAGCTAAAGTGGTAGAGCGCTTGCCTGGAGCTGAAGAGCTGAGGGACAACGCCCAGGCCCAGAGTTCAAGACCCACGACCAAAAAAATACAGGCTGATAACACGGGGCATTGAAGCAAATTGGATCAATGTCTTAGTAGGCTACTTGAAGAGAATTTTATTTCTCTCAAATTGACACAGGTAACTTCCTTAAAAATCTCAGATTAGGAGGAGATCCAGAATTCCAAACTTGATGGTAGCCCAAGAGCTTGTTGTATGCGGCCTGGCAGAATTTAATCCTAGACATCTGTTTCCTGGTCCCCTTTCCCGAATCACCTCATACCCTCAATCATTTCCTTAGTAAGGATGAAAAGCTCTTTTTTTTTTTTTTCAGCCACTCCTTAATCGGCTTTCAAGATTCCCTAATTTTTTGCATCAATTTAACCTGGAGAATGTAATAAAAGTTCATTAGGTGTGTTCTCGAAATTAGTTTTAAACATGCTTTTTAAGCAAAAACAGGAAAGCTTAAACAGGGCTAAGAAGTACAGGATAAAACCTGTAAAGACAGCAATGTTTATAAAACGAGCATGCTTAGTACACTCCAGGAAAAAGCCAGAGGCTTTATCAAACAAAATCCAATGCGTGCCTATTGCGGGCATCATTAGTAAGCACTGGTGGCTGATGTCCTTGTGGGCCAGTAGCAAAGGAACTTGGGCAGCAGAAAAGAGAAAGAACAGATTTCCTCGTATCCAGGAGTCTGGTGAAATAGGCCACGCACACTGAAACACGACGAAGGCTAGAGCCTCTTCATGATGCTTTGGGTGACATCACCTGTGAATCTATTAGTTGCCGGCCAATCACAAGCCTTCCCTGCAAAAGTGACCCCCCCCCCCGCCACCTCCCTCCTGCTGCAGAGTCTGATACACGGATCTAACGATGAAG